CGCTGGCAGACATCAGCACCGAGCTTCAAGCTGCACTGGAGCACGCTGTGCAGCGTCGGGGGGCCGTAGAGAAAGCGGCCATTGAGCATATGCGCAGGATTTCCGCGCTTGAGTCTCGACTTGCCGATGCCCATGCACGAATGGTCAATCTGGACGTGGGAAGTAATGCCTTTGAGATTATCTACTCTGTCTTCCAGATGCCAATGGTGTATGGGTCGATTCTTATCGAATCTGTGCGGCGGCGAGAATGGAGTGATAAGATCAAGACTGACTCCCTGACGCTGGCTGAGGAGATGGCAGTTTTGAGAGATGAGGAGCAACGCCGCAGAAAGAAATGGCTAAAAAACATGGGAGACTTCATGACTGTGACCGATTCCACCACACCGGGAATCGAAGTCAACCTCCAAGGTCAGGATGAGGAATGGCCTGAAGTAGCTCGGAAAGAGATCGAGTATTACATCGATGAGTTAAAGACCGCTCATTCGTTGACCAAGATAGCGGAAGAGCTCACCCAGCAACTCAAGGAGCTGGATGCACCCACTCGGCAGCAAAGACGACGGGCGAAAGCGTTCAAACAAGGCAGCGTATTTGACTTGAGCCGGAGCTCTATATTACGCGCCGATGACTCAGTCCGTAGCTTACAAGAAGAAAAGACAAAGCTGGAAGAAAGGCTCAAGGGGTCTGACAGTCGCGTGCGGAAGTTGGAAGACCTTTTGCATCGTCAGAGCCAGCTCAGCCGACCACCGAGCGGCAACTTCGGCCCAGACTTCCCAGGTTCACCTGCATCTCCACACCCTGACGCACTATCTAGACGGTCATCGGCCTCTTCCAGGCGGGTCTCAGCGACTCAGTCCCCTGAAGACAAAGCACTCATTCAGCGCATCGTTACGCTCGAAGCAGAGTTGGCGGCCGAGAGAGATGCTGTCCAGCGACTCCACAAGGAAGCTCACGCTGAGCGGCAAACAAACTCCGACAAGTTCCAAGAAGTCCAATCCACCAAAAAGGACCTCATAGGCAACCTTGAAGCGCGCCAACGCGAATTCGAAGATGAGCGCCGATATCTGGACTCGGAGCTAAAGAAGTTCAGACTTCGTACTGAGGAAATGGAAGAAGAGCTAGATCGGCTTATGGATAGCAGAGAGCATGGAAGACAAGAGATTGACGGTCGGATGCACCAGCTCGAAGTCGACCTTGAAAATGCCCACGCCAATTCCGCCAACGACGCACAGAAAATCATTGATCTTAATGCACAGATTCAAACTCGGCAAGAGCGAGAAGAAATCCTCCAGGCTAAGATTGGTGATTTCGAGCACCGACAAGTGGAGTTCGAGCAAAAGCATCAGGAAAGTTACCAAGCCCTCCAAGCTATCTTCATGAACCTCTCGCCCGGGGGCATTGTACCTGTCGAACTTCCCGACATAATCAAAGCCATTGAGGTTCTCTCTGAGGGTCTGTCGATCCACGCGAAGAGCGCGGAATCGAATGCAACCCAGGCAATGGCTGAGAACAAGACCCTCGAGGAACAAATTTTGAAATTCGAGTCGGAGGCAGAAGAGCGGACAAAGAGCTTCGACGAATGCAAGGCCGAAATGTCGCGATTAACTGCAGAGCTCTCAGGCGCGCGATCAAAGGCGGAGGACTTGACCAGTGAACTAGAGAAAGAGCGATCTAAGTTCAGTTCCTTGCACTCCCAAATGACTGCCGGAGAGAGCGGCTCCGAAGCGCTGCGGGAGCAGATCGCCGAAGAGGAACGGAAACAGGCAGAGCTGTCACGGAAACTGGCTGAAGCTGAGAGTCAAGCTCGAAATTTGAAGGACCAGGCCGCGGAATGGGAGAGAAAGGCAGGGGCCACTTCGGAGACCGAGGAACAAGCTGTGGCACGGCTGGAAGCTCGGGGTACAAAGTCCCTCGAGCTTTCGAATCAACTCTTCGCGCAGGTTGAGAAGCTGGGTCGGATGCTCGAGCAATTGGGCTTCACCATCATTCAGCAAGACGGTCAGGTCCTTGTTCAGCGTGCTTCGAAGCTCAGCGCATCGTTGGGCCTGGGTGAAAGCCTCGCCCAGTCAGGTATTGTATCCCTGAAGCCGGATACTGCGCTTCTGGACTGGATGCAAGCCGAAAGCATGGAGGATGAAGAGACCCAATTCTCGGCTTTCATGAAAAGTCTAGCTCAGTTCGACGTGGCTATATTTGGTGATGTTGTTGTCAAACGCGTCAAGGACATCGAAGTCTTAGCCCGAAAATGGCAAAAAGAAGCTCGAGGCTATCGTGAAAAATACCATCGAGTTCAGAGCGAAGCACATGACAAGATTGCCTACAGATCCTTCAAAGAAGGCGATCTTGCTCTCTTCCTTCCAACACGGAATCAGGCCATTCGCTCCTGGGCAGCCTTCAACGTGGGTGCGCCGCACTATTTCCTTCGTGAACAAGATGCACACAAACTACAAGCTCGAGACTGGCTTCTCGCCCGTATCACCAAGATTGAGGAACGGGTTGTAGATCTGTCCAAATCAATGAACGGTGTCGCACCAGACCGTCGCTCCCTTGGGGAAGCCAGCGACGGCGCCTCTCTAGAAGACGAGAATCCATTCGAGCTATCAGACGGCCTCCGTTGGTATCTCCTTGAGGCCGTAGAAGAGAAGCCTGGTGCGCCTGCTACACCGGGCATAGCGAAGAGCACAGTTGCATCGGCGCACGTGGATGCCAAAGGTAGCATTCGCCTGAAACGTCGTACGGACGAGGCTGCCATTGCCAAAACCCTATCCAGGAGCCTTGATAGCCGCCGCGAGAGCTCGACTTCCAAGCGGGGTACACCCACGCCGTCGCAGCACGCTGTCGAATCCACTACTGATCTTGTGCGCCCCGCCGAAGCTGACGCCGGCTCGCAGCCTCGAGAGGCTGCTCCGATCTTCGACGAGGTTCGCCGTGACCTGCTCTCCGGCCCGTGAAAAGTAGGGATTGACTTATTTATCTTCCGTCTTTTCCGGGTCTGTTTTGGTATGATCTAATATCAGATGCTAATGGTCTTTTTGGCTTAGGATTCTCTTTCTGCATCGGCCCAACCAAACATAAGTGGCACCGCTTCTTCTCCCTCTCGATCGACGTCTGGTCGTCAACACAACGGCCGATCTCGCCCGTGGGAGAAATTGTGGTCTCTTGACTATCGACTCGAGGGTGGCGCATCATAGACTGTTTTATTTTTCTCTTCCTTTTTCTACAAGTTCCGGCTTACCAGTGCGTTGCATTGTTCTTTTTGTTCTTTTTTTTGGTCTGTCCCTCAATGGATCCGTACACGTCCCATTTGCTTTTGACATTGATTTAGTCCAGATACCCAACAACGCAATCTACACTTGAATATATCGATCTACCTCAAGTGGCATAGGGTATGAGGTGCTGATCAAGCTTTACGAACCATACGTCAAGAATAATCAGGCACAGAGAGCAGTTTACATAGGGAGTAAGCCGAGATTGAGTGAACCGTAAGAAAGAAAATGTGATCATGAAACGATAAATCACTGGAATCACTAGTCTAATCCTTCCATGCCACCCATGTCGTCCCAGAATTGACTGAAATTCACATTCTCATCTTCGAACATCTGCTTCGCTTGTAGCATCGCAGACCGTTGCCGTTCCGCAGTGAAGCCACCAGGCTGCGAGCTCTCCCATTGAATTAGCTCGACCCAACGGAGGAAGAGATCCTCCTTGCCCATCTCGGCCAACTTCTCCTTGAAGGCGAGGATCTGGTCGCGGTGAACGGATCGCTTTTGACCACTGGGGGTATTCTCATCCCCGACGCGCCAGATCAGCCAACCATCAGCATCAGTGTTAACCAGCACGGCAGTACGGAATTCATCCATCTGTACACCCTCGCCTCTTCGAGTGCGATCAACAAGAGCATGAGCGCGGACCATGGCCTCATAGTCTAAATTCCAATCCTCGTCTACGAGCAAGTAACCAGTCTTTCCGATCCGCTCGGGAGTCACAGCGGCGACGATCTTATCGCGACGCGCCTCGTCTTCGCGGATCCACCTGTTGCGCTCGAGCTCCTTGCTCCAACTGCGGTTACTGCGGCGGACTATGACCTCTCGCTCACGGAAACCGACGGCGCGTCGCCAGCGCACGGGCCCTCTTATGAAATTAACGGGCCACGACCACAACAGGGTCACGAGGAAGTAGTCGATGCATATAGTTCCAGTCCGCCGCAGGATGATTTGTACCGCTTCTGTCCACGGGGTAGCTGCCGTGTCCACGGTCATGGAACTTTGGAGCCCGATCAGCGTTCTCACGAGGGCCGGATATGTACTGATTCCCATGTACATCCGTAGGCCAATCACAGCAGCTACTGCCAGGTTGAGAATGAGGGGTACGGTGAAGGTCTGCCGCTTCAGCTCCTCCGCTGTGATATCGATGTGGACTAGGTATATTTCGTCGGGCGAGAGTGGTTCGACGAATGGTCGCAAAGCTTCTGGGACTTTGGTGAATGGTGGGATCGGGCCTGAGGATGCGGAGCTTGGTGTTGAGGCTCCTGATGACGTTGGCGTCTTGGCACGACCTGAGCGCCGTGATGATTTTGCCATGGTAGGGGTTGATATATATGTATTCCAGTGAATTGCTGGATATGATCTGAGTTGAAGCTTGTTCAAGTGTTCGGAACGCGAGTCTTTCGCTTTTATCGAAGCTTTCGTGGATAGGCGGGAGAGTGGACGTGTCACATGTCAAGGCAAGATGAGGGTCATTTGAGCATCACGAGCTTGTAGATTCTCTCCTGACAATGTCTCGAGGGCAGATATGAGCAAAAGACAAGTTAAGAAGACAATTTGTTGGTGGTTGGAGGAGTCGACGTAATGCGGAAGGAATTCAGACGGGCTAACCACATTGGGGAATGAGAGCCTAGTATTTACCTCCGTCATTTCTTCAGCGCAGGAGAACCGCGTCTTTCCCCCTTTTACCTACCTTTTCTACACGTGAACCCTCTGCAGGCTGCAAGGGGTATTTCGGTCATGTCATTCGATAAAAACAATCGAGTCTCGCGAGACAGACAGCCGTCACCCTTCCGACGCGCCTCGAAATTCGACCATTACGATATACCTGCGAAGCTTCCGTCACCCCCTCAAGAAGATGGTCCGCATCCACGACACGCTATTCGCCCAAGATCTCTAGCCGATGCGTATCGAGACGCATCAAAACACGCAATGTCCACCACATACGACGAAGAATACAACTACACGACAAGCCCAAGCCCGCGATCAAAGCGGCAACCGATTAACGCGTTCTCGCCAATATCGCAGACTTCTCCTCCTCCTCCTCCTCCTCCTCCCAAAGAACTCGAAGATGCATATAGACGAATTGACGAAGATGACGCTCTAGCCGATCTCGTGCGCGATTATGACTGGGAGCCGCAGTACAGCGCACGCTCCGGAAGCCGAAGTCGGCCCTCGTCCTCCCGAGCAAAGGACACGAACAACGGCAGAGGATCTACGAATGGACGACCCTTTTCTGATGCTAGTTTTAGAGATGAACTCGGCGACCATCGAGCACGCAAGAGCAGGGACTTCACCAAGGACGAAGAGCGCCTAAAGCGCGTCACGGGCCAACGCTCGCCGGTCTTCAGCAGGGCTCACGGACGGGATCGGGATGCCTTGACAGCGGATAATTTAAGGAGGCGAATGGAAGATAAGATGGAGGCGGACCATCCTGCGCCAGAGGCTGACAGGAACGGTCTCCCTTCGCCGAATATACCCACTGGTTGGGGTCATCGCGCATATCACCGACAAGAATGGGAGAGAAAGCCCACCCAGCGTAGTGTCTCTGCAGAAGAAGAGGAAAAAGCGCGTCGCCGCTGGTCGCCAACTATCACGGAGGAAACCCGAGAACCCAGGCCTACACGTGCCTCTCCTGTTTCTCCGGCGCGGAGCACACTTTCTGCTAGAAGTGCTCTTGAAGAACGCTCTGCCAATCCGCATATGCACGCAACGCAGGAGGACTTTGGGGAAGCGCGGTCTGGCCCAAAGCTGATCTCACCGACTAGTGGCGGCGAGCCAATTCCCAATTCCCCTATCACAGTATTCAAAAACTCGTCATTCGTGAGGCCCAGCCCAAGCAAGCGTGACTCTAGGGATCTACTACGCAAACTTTCCAGGACTGAAAATCCAAAAATTGATCATGTCCAAACCCCAGAGCCAGTCAAACTGTTTGAAAGCAGAATTTATGACAAAACCCCTCGGGTAACAGGCGCGTGGATCGATACTCCTATGACCCAGCGGGTGGCTGAGAAGGTCGAGCTTCCCGAAGACCTGACGAAAGACATCATTCTCCCACGCGTGACGGATGCATCCAAGGTCATTGCACCCCCTACAAAACCAACGGATATCAAATCGAAAGCCGAGGAATCGAAGCCCGCGCAGATTACCGAGAAAGAGCCCCTCGCTGAACCACTTGCTGGGGAGTCAAGGCCCCCATTGACGCGACCTCATCGACCCAAAAGTGCCTTGGAGACGGTCATTGAGGATGCCAGCTCCGGCAAGGACGTCGAGTTCGGAGACAATACCATCGAGTCCCTGCAAGCATTTATGGACGCCGGGCCAGGCGAAACCAAAATCGAGGAAGATGACGAGGCTTACGAAAAGGCCGTCCTCGCGCAGCTCGAAAATGCCAGTTCAAAAGGAAATGACGTGGTCAACTTGGATTCATTGAATGTCAAGCTCAACTCTCTAATGAGACATATCGATGAAGTCAAGAAAGGGCTTGATGGCCTGGAAGGTCACGTTACGCGAGACGCTGCAATTGTGTCGCAAGCAAAGTCTTCAACCAAAAAGAAGCCTCAGCCATCACACTTGCACACAGATGAATCCTGCAAAGGCTGTAGCACGCACTCTGATGGACGAGTCTACGCCGCGATACCTCTTCCTCGGCTGTGGAACCGGAGCCCGCGATCCCAACGCCTCCGGCCCACGAAGCTCGGCTGCTTCATCATCGTCTCACTCTCGTGGTATATCATCGAATGTCTGATGTGGGACCAGTATAGTCATCCCGAGATATCCGAAAGCTGCGAAGGCTACTGCCTGCAGCCTGATGCGCCTCTATACCCCTGGGTAACTGTCACAATGTTGTGGCGCTGGTCACATCTATCAACTATTTTCACGCCAATTTTCGCTATCTGTATTGCTTTCTCTCGGCTTGCGGCGCAATTAATTGGTCTTTGGGATGGCTACGTGGATGACGCGCCGGAGCTTGGAAATATCATTGGCGAAATCCGTATCAACGGAACGCCAGTTGCCTTCCCTTGGCTGTCAGCACCTACAGCTGAAAGCATTGCGCCTCAACCACAGCAGGTCCAGTGTACACAGCCTGTGCAACCAGTACAGCCTGTCTGGTCAGCTTACCCTCCGCCCCCGCAGACGTGGGACGTTGACCGGCTGTTGGGGGAGGATGCAATGGACGATGATGAATATCTTTAGTTCCCAGGGTTGTTCTTCAAATTCCCGCGACGTTTGCTTGCCGCGTTTCGCTCCGAACCAGGCGGATAGCTTTTCGGTCATTCTCGGTAGTTCATTTTGCTCATGAGTTGGGCTTGTGTCTTATCATGGTTCTAATTCGCCATGGTTTGGGCTACTATCGAATGCAATCCCGGTTAGCGATTCATTGATACAGAGACAGTTTTTTAAGAAAGTAACCAACCTTGGAAGTATTTATAGTCTTCTAGATAGATATGTAGCCATCTCAATTCCCAACAGCCGGCACTGGGCCCTCCAGGGCTATCACGCATCCATAATGGAAAAGATTTGTCATGGGGATCATTAAAAATACAAATAGTGTATGATGCGAAACGTGGAGAGAAAACCATATAAAACAACTCACAATCGCGCTGTCGCACGCCATTGCTTCTGTAATTCGATCTCTCCCTCCAACTTCCAGGCAGACATTCTCCGCATGAGGGCCACAACCTGCTCATCGCTAATTTCACAGGCCTTTTCAATCGGGATCTCCTTTGTCAACTGTAGCTTGAACCCTAACCAGGTGAGGTACCCCGTCGACACGACCCGGCCGGCAACAGCATCACGACAGAACCTAGCAAAGCTCTCGAAGAAACGGTGGCTAGCTGGTCTGTCCATCATAAGTATACCGTGGCAGTGGGGCATGCCCTCAAACATCTCCGCGACGAGGGGCACACCGGCCTGGTAGACACGGCGCGCTAGAATAAGACCCTCATCTGTGAGGCCTTCCTCGCCAGTCGAGATCCAGATAGGCGGTGCATTCTCCCAGAGATCAGCCGGGGCAGCGAGCGGAGACACCAATGGGTGGCTCAGCATGCTGGCGTTGCAGTACACGTCAGCGCGAGGCGGGGACGTAGGCCAGATATCATCTGGCGCGAAAGGAAGCGGGGTAAACGGAGTCGTGACAACTGGATTGTCGGAGGGCACAACCGGTGCCTTGAGGTAATCGAGGTGTGCATTGCCGCTGGTAGACGGCATGGAGCGCGTCACGTCGCACCATGGGGAGATGGTCGCGACGCCTGCGGGTAGTTCGATGGGTACATCTTCGCCGTGGAAGCGGATTGTGTGGGATGCGCGGTCGAGTGTCAAGAGTGTCTGGAGGAGGACCAGTGACAGGTTCCCGCCGGCGGAATCGCCAGCGAATACGATTTTGTTGGCTGGCACGGCTTTGTGGAGGGAGCCTGGAGGTGGGTGGAGGAGTGAGAGGTATGCTGTTAAAGCGTCGACAAGTGCAGCTGGGAATGGGTTTTGAGGAGCGAGGCGATATCGGACGGAGAAAACGGGAGCACCTGTTAGGTGGGACAGGTGTGCGACTGGGACGCGGTGGCTGCAGGGATCCAAAAGGCTTTTTTAAAGATACGTCAGCTATGGGCACTGTTGTTAGAGGATCGAGCGACACTCACCAATAGGCTCCTCCGTGGAAATACAAGATCGTCATATCAGACGGCGACCCCTCGCGCAGCTTGTAGTATTTCTCCTCTTCTGAGAGATCAGGCTCTGGTGTTTTCTTTCCAACTCCGGCGCGGTAGCCGGTCCATTCGGCTTCGACGGCGACAGTTGCGGGGATATCGTATGTCTCATCGCCGGTCCTGAGATCTTCGATTGCGCGTAGTACTGCATCGCGCACGCCGACCTCGGGTTGCGGGAGGGTCACTTTGGACACCCACATGGGGCCCTTGACTCCTGGGTCGCGTAAGCCATGTTCCTGGGTTTTGCCGAGTGGAGCTTGTGTTGCCATAAATGAGCGAATAATGGCGACTATTAATTCGGTGCGCATGTCCTGTTTCCCCTTGACGGGTGACATTTGAATGCTATGCAGGAGGATGGTCTTGAGGATCAGCGGGATGCGGACCACCAGCGCCTTCAAGAGGCCGAGAGGTTCCCTAAGCGAGCTCATGTTGCAAAGGGGGCAGCTTTAAGCGCTGGCTTCTGCAAATAATGGAAATGGAGGTGAGAAGAAGAAGGTCTAAAGACCACAAGATCTTAAGATCTCAACCTCGGAAGATGCTAAACAGGATTTAGTGCCTGAGTGGCGTCAGTGCCGAGGTCCGGGACGTGGAGCATACCCCACAAGCCTTAATTCTGAGTTCAATGTCTCATATTGATCGGATTAGTATCATCATATCATATGAGGGTTGTCCTGTAGTGCAGTTCATCTAGTTTACCAGTAGACTGTCAAGCCATCAGTTTATGTCGGTCATTATAGACTACCTACATAGGTAGACTACCCTCGTGCAGCTGATATTGCAGCATTGGCTGTGAAAAAGCATAACAATCACAATAGTTGTCATTGAAGGGTAAATGGGCACACAATCCTATCTTCGTCGCTTATGAAGAGTACCATAACAACTAGCTACGTAGGTATAGTTTCTGTAGCTTCTGCTAAAAATGTTTGATTGCGGTCACTGAGAGAGAAACAGAATAATGCACGGTAAACTGAGATAGCCATTCAGGTGGGAGTTCTATAGAGATGGCTTACAGTATATATGAAGCCTACATATCTATGTTAAAAACAGCGTCAAATATGGATGTTTCTGGCTTCCTATATATAAGTTGAGCCGCAGATATTTGGGAACGAAAAAGAAAACACAGCCCATTTCTCAATGATGATGTCAGGCAGTGAATATCCAGTGATCTGAGCAAGTTATGTCCCCAAAATATCAAATTAACGTCGATATAAGACCAACTTGGAAATCCAATCAGCTGCCCTAATCCGGTGCGACTTGTGACAGATGACTAAGTCTCAGCCTCAGGCCAAAATCCTCATGATCTTCAATTCTAGAATCACCCTGGTTTGTTTCAGGCTTTATTTTTGATGCCTCCACTTTGTACGCCTAAAGGCGAAAATTCTCTGCCTATTTACTGTACTATCTTACTGAGCATAATCTACCTTGTGGCTGCTCGCGTCTTTTCATGCCCGCTTTCCCCCCATCGTTCCATCTCCTCATTCCCCCACCACTCAATTTGACCGATCGCACCGGGACATGTTCATGGTAGTAAGTCCGGCGGACACGACTCAATAAGAGAGATGGAGGAGAGTACTCTTTTCGGCGATGACTTGCCGCTTCCACCGGCCCGACTTTTCGAACGATTAAGCCAGTTACCTGGGTATACCTGGGATCAGGCGATCGAACCGTTTCACTCGACATACAATCACTGGCATATCTCAGGATACCGTCATGCCTTGGAGCCGGATGTCTTAACTCCTCTCGCAGACTCCTCAAATCCCGCCTCTTCCGGACCGTCGAGCCTCACGCGCTTCTCCCCGCGCACAGAAATCCGGCCATCCGCCCGTGCCTTGCGAAGATTGAGCGCCAGCGAAACCAGCAGTGATATTTCACTTTCCAACCAACATAGCCTGGAAACAGATCAAACATGGATACCGGTCATCGCGCGAATCTCCACCAACATTATTCGGCTCGAACGAGAGTTTCACATGCTAAGGTCGATTGTACAATCGTCAGATCCGGATTGCAATCATACAATACGACCAGTCGACTTGATCAGGTTACAGCCAGATGATGGCCACTCGAAGACGCTGCTGGTTGCAATTTTTGAGTCTCCAGGCCATGACAGGTTGCGAGATCTGGTCACGTTTGGCCCTGCCTCATTTGCGGCAGGGTCCAGAGGTGAAGACAATAATGCCACCCCCAGCGAGCAGGTCTCGTTACAAGCCTTTTTCGATTTCGCAATCGGGGCATGCGATTGCCTGGAGATTCTACACTATGGCCTGAAGACAGTGCACGGCGAAATCAGAGGCGATGCGTTCCATTTCTGTGCAGAGACTGGTACAGTGAAGCTCGCAAACACCGGCAACGGTGCTAGATCATTTGATAACGTTCTCAGCGAGGGCTGGTCCTCCGTTTCGCGCGAGCTTGGAGCAAAGTACAAGCTGCAATTTATTGCGCCAGAGCAGACCGGAAGGATGCCTACAGAGCCGGATAGTCGCACTGATATTTATGCGCTCGGCCTCTTTTTTTGGTCCATGCTAGTGGGAAAGCTACCATTTGAAGGAACCGACCCTGTTGACGTGGTACAAAATGTACTAGGCAAGAGATTGGTGCCAGTATCTGGGAAACGAATGGATGTTCCGGATGCTCTCTCGGCTGTGATCCAAAAAATGACTCAAAAGGTGGTCCATGATCGCTATCACACAATCTCGTCTGTCAAGAGAGACTTAACCCATATTGCGAAATTGCTTGGTGATGGTGACAGTGAGGCATTGAGCAATTTCCAAGTCGCGCAAGGAGATGTGTCTTCCTTTTTCACTCTCCCAACACAAATGTTTGGGCGGCAAAAAGAATATGACAAGATCATGAATATCATCGAAAAGGTCATTAAGCGCCAGGCGATTGCCTTGGCTAAAGCCGGAACCCAAAGTCCTGGTACGATGCACGCTCTCACATCGGCTTCGTCCATCTCTGAAAGCCGTATCGAAAGCCTCGAGTTTGCTTCTGTCTCTAGCGATTCTGGCTCCTTCAATCTGCCTCCTCGATCGTCTTCTAATGTCACCAGTCATCACCTCGCACAAGTGAACACCCATGAATCTGCGCCAGGTAGTGACACGTCGTTTTCCACTCCGAGGCATACAATTGTCACCGATGCGTATTGCCAAAGCCCAGGAGCAGTTTCCACCAGAGTCAAGAGCCCATCGCACTCTCGGTCTTCCCATAATACAGACCGCGATAGTCACCCCTCTATCGGTCCTCCGAGCCAACCATCAACAAACCATACTGTTAGTCAATCGGGGTCACTGCATTCCTTGAACAAAGCGAAGAATAGTGGGAAGTCTCGCCGCAGTGAGCGCTGTGAAGTGATCACGATTAGCGGTCCCGCTGGGATTGGAAAGACGGACCTCTTAAATCGGATACAGCCAACAGTTCGCAAACTCGGATGCATAGCAATTACTCGTCTGGATCGAGCCAAACGTGTCCCATTCGAACCTTTTGCAAAACTACTGGCGA